ACGTTCTCTGTGTGGTCACCTCCTTCCCGTATCTTTGCCTGGCTAATCGCTACTGTTCTTCCCGTATCTTTGCCTGGCTAATCGCTACTGTTCTTCTGTGATTCCAACTCTTCTGTGAAGCCCTTCCTGATCCCTTGTCCACCTGAGACCTGTTCAGCATGACAGAGACTCTGCTACATGTTCACCAAATCTTTTTTCATTTTCTTCTTCTTAGGCACTTGGAAAAGACAGCATTTTCCAGGCTTCCTCACAGTTAAGTTGAGTCCACCTGACTGTGTTCCTGCAAATGTAGGTGGAAGTGATGCGTGCCATGTCTGGGCCTGCTCATTAAACACCCTTTAATCATTCAAGCTCTCTCTGCCTTGGAGGCCATGTGCTTAGGATGGCAAGATCACAAGAGAGAGCAGCTGGAGCGAGTTATCCTTAAGAAGAATGTCTGACTCATTTGGATGGTGATCTCTTAAGGCCCTGAGATTTCAGGGTCAATTTGTCACCTGGCCATAGCCTATCCTCTCCTGGCTGATACAATTAAGTATCCCTTTTCTTGTGGTCTTGACCTTTATTATAACTTACATTGCACTACTTACATTGTCTTCTCCACTAGACAATGGAGTTCCTTGGCAGCAAAGACACAGTTTCCTTTCTCTGTTTATAGTTTATTCATTCCATGGTGCTAAACATAGACATGGCACTTAGTCAAACATCTTTTGAATGAACAAAAATTTCATAGCCCCATTTGACAGTGGAGGAGAAATGAAAAGAAATGGCGAGACTGGGGGTAGGGAGAGAAGAGCTCACATGGTCATAGGCTGTGACAGCCTGCTTGCCTTACGGGGGCCAACTGACATCTTTGATTTAGTGGCTGCAAAGTCCCAGTCATGGGCTTATGAAACATCAGAGGCAAAGGCCACTCCCCAGTTCCCTCAATCTACATCACACCCTTACATCTCCTTCCAACTGCTCCCCTGCAATTTCCAGGAGTTGCTCTTATTTCTTGCACCAGTTTATGAACTGAATTAAAATAAATGAGATGCAAATAAATTCTACACTTTCTCCCTCATTTTCAAATTACATTTTCAGTCCACTCAACCTGTTATAATCTCATAGTGATTTTCATTTAAGAGAGCTAAATGGATATGTGATTGTTGTTACAGGAACTAACACCAGACAATTAAATGTTGAGGTGTTGATAGATAAAGCTGTGTTTTGATTTGCATAAACATGATGCCAGCAAATCTAACCCTGGCAGAAATTCAGTTATAAGACTTGCATGCCTAACTTCTGCTAATTACCACAAGTACCATTATTAAGATTTTTAATATTCAGAGTTGGGATTATAGCCATTTTATTTTAGGGCCACATTTATCTTTATTTTGAAAACTTAGTCAAAATGCATAACTGATTTATTGGAGAAAAGGCACGATTACTACTTATAATCAACTTCTACAGTGCAGCGTATCAAAAATCAATTACACAGCCCTGAAATCCAGTCATTAAGGATTTAGCTACTAATCTCATTCCATTTTTGTCTTTAGGAAGATACTGCAGCTTGCAACTTTACAGATACCAACAGAGGAAGAAAAACATGGGAGACTGCTGATAACCTAATGTGAAGAATTAAACTCCAACTAGACAAAGGCAGAATCTTAATATGGAGTGGTCTGGCTCTGCGGGGAGGTCACCTGGGCTGGCTGGATTTCAATCCAGTAACATGGAAAAAGTTAGGACCCAAGTTTTGCAGACGCTGAGCCTTCTACTCTCAGGAATTCCAAATATTTGTTAAATTCCACCTCATCTTCCTAGTGCTTGCCAAGATCTGCAATTATTTTAGTTATTTATTAGCTTACTGATTAACTGCTCCTCTCTTCAACTCCCCTTCCCCCAATGTAAGATGCAGGAGGGTAGAGGCTTTGCACTGTGTGACGTATAGCTTACGTGCATAGCACAGTGCCTGGCTCAGAGTAGGGGTTCAATAAATATGTGTTGAATTTGATAAAGACTGGGATCCCCAGGATTCCTCTCTCCCCCACTCCCTGGGGGAAGGGTTAGCATGACGGTAGGAACTGGTCCCTCTTAGTGACAGGTAAGTGAGCAAAGCAGGATCCACTAGCACCGAAATTATATGGATGACCATGGATCTGAACAGAAAGCTGTGTGACATGATTGTTAAGAATACTGGCAGGTGAGCCAGACAGAAAGTCGGAACTGGGGCTGAGTCCTGGCTTTGCTGTTTCTAGCCATTGCGTTCTTGGACAGGTTATTTAGCTTCCCTGAGCCTGTGTTTCCTCAGCTGGAAAATGGAAGTAATAGTAACTACCCCCATGGGGCTGTTGAAAAGATGAAAATAATACAAGTAAAGTATTTAACATAGTACTTGCATCATAAAAGCCCTCAATAAATGTTATATATTAGTTTTTAGAAGATGTAACTTGGGGCAAGTTGCCTGGTCTGGGGAAGCTAGGGTTGGGTGAAACTCCCTACTTCGATTTGCTTGTTACTTCCTTCTGGGAAGCCTTCTCTGACCCCTGTGGGCTGGGTGACATCTCCTCCTCTGTGACCCCACCAGACCCTAAATGTACTTCTGTCTTTTCATGTAACCTGTGAATATCCTGTTTCTGCATATTCTGCCAGACGGTTAACTCCTTGAGTGTGAAGAACATACTTTAAAATTTTTGTTCTTCTAGTATTTAGCAAATTACCTGGCACATATTAGGTACTGGCACCAGTTCATTTGTTGAATTATCCAGACAGTGAAAATTAAGGGAGAGGATGGCAAGTGTGAAAAGAAGACCAAAGCTATTTCTAGCTACAGAGTATTGTAAATCCCCAAGGCAGGCAACAGCTGCCTTTTTCAGTCCTAGGAAATGGAGAATGTTTTCCCCAAGGTATGAAAACCAAAGGGATATGGCTTTTACCTTCCAAGGGAAGAACTTGCCTTTTCCAGGGAAGAATGGAGTAATGGAGGCTTGGAAGCGGGGACATTTTCTCAGCTGTGTGACAAAAGGGTGCATCCCTTCCCACCTGTGGGCACCAGGTTGGGTAGAACCACTTACCCGGAGCTTCCTGCCAAAGATGGTGACTTTGCCTTTAATTTGCTCCTTTCTGAGGCGCCACTCAATGGAGTTTAAGCCATTCTCCATGGGCAGGGAGATGTTGCAGCGCCCAATGGTGGGGGTGACGGTGCCCGCTAGGACATGGGGCTCGCTGTGGAAGCTGACTCCCATGCCATTGGCGTACATCACCCTCAGAGTACCGTTATTACAGAGCTGGTAGCTGTTCCGCACTTGATCTGGAAAAATGTAGGTGGGGGTGGGGATGAGGAAATAAATTATCCACTCTATTAGTCAAGAGAGAATAGATCCCTATTTTTGTAGGTTTCCATGGTACTTTGCAGCCGTCAGTCTCAGGCTGCCTTCAATTAGCACACAGACAATGGGAAGGTGAGTAGTAGCAATGCTACTGATCCATGTAAAGAAAAACATCATCTGTGGCACTCCAGAAATAATTATGCCGTGATATTTTCCTTTTACTCACTGAAGACTATTAATAGTACATTTAAACATTTAAAGATGTCTATCGCCTACATGATTTGTGTCAATCAAATTCTTGAACTTTAACATACATATTTTAGCTTATATGCAAAAAAAAAAAAAAAAGGAAAAAGGAAAACTACTTCGATTTTTTCCCCCTTTTGCCTACCACCTAACCCAAGGTTGATGGTCTATCCACAGGACAGATACACTGCAAAGCAAGTCCGGGATTCTTCAAGAAAATCAAGAGAAAAAGCTACCTCTCTCCTCTGATGCTTTTGCCACTGACACCACATGCACTCCAGAGAAGTCTGGAGAGACTCAAATAGCATGAGGCAGACCAAGCTGGGGGTACTGATAATGTGCATTTATCTTCTCATATGGAATCTGCACTAGTCAGTCAGACTTCTGACCTTTTCCTTTATCAAAAAGTTACAGGAAGGAAATGTGAGTCAGAGACTCCTTTTACAGATAAGTTCCTTCCTGATTGTCCAGAAAAAGGAGGTGGATTGGCCTTGGAGACATCAGCTTTTGGGGTAGTGAGCAAGTGTGTACCTGTCACTCCTGCGACTCCAGCCATGATGCAGAAGGACAGAATCTACATCATTAATCATTTTGCAGAGTAGAAATAGAGTCATTGAAACAGGCTCTGTCATGGGATAATAGTCCCGAAATGTCACCATTTATCTACCGAGAGGACACTTTTATCCTCTGACAACATGCTAGCCACTGACATTACGTCTTAATTAAAAGAAAAACTAATCTGCGCAATTCCTTTTCTCGCCAGGCCCTGTGCTTGTCTGGGACTGCAAAGCACATCTAACAGCAACAATAACCACAGGGTGGCCCGAGACCTTTGAGATCCCAGTCTTGGCAAGAGATGGCTAAAGAGCTCTGATCCCAGGGCAATCGACACTACAAATAAAGCTTGAAAGAGAGAATCAGAATGGAATAACAAAAAAACAAATCTCATGGTGGGCCGGAGAATAAACGGCCTTTGAGATGATAACTCCGTGTGTTGGATAGGTGGGCAGTGCTGGTCACACAGGAGTAAGAGGAGGGCAGAGTATTTGCGGGTGAAAACGAACATTTTCAGATAACTATGCAGATATTTCCAAATACCTAGATGTTTAGTCGGGTGTAGATGATATTATCTTGTACCTCATTAAATCCTTTTCTGCAAGACTGACCTCTTGTAGAACTTATTTGCTGGGGACATTTGAATGACACAGGAAGCTGAGGGGTACTCCAGGTCTCTGGAAGTCCTCCCAGGCTAGGTCATTCACACCTCTGGGCTTAGCTGGGTTCTGGGTCTAGAGGTGAGTTCGCGGGTAGGGTGGTTATAGGTTGGGGGCTTACCTTGTACCACTGTGTAGGAAGCCTCCACTGAAGAGAGGTTGGTAATGACAGTGACGTCGTCATCACGGTTGGAGTTCTCGATGTCAATGGTGATGGATTTTTCCATTTCCCGGTGCAGACTGGTGACCACTCCTGTGGGGCGTGTCACATTGGTCAGGCGGCCCTCATGGTCATAACTGGAGGACAAAAACACTGGTTGGAAGCACAGTCAGCAGGGTTGAAGGCTTTCCAACATTCAGAACCATACAAGGGACAAACTTATGGGGCCATAGGAAGATTGGAAGATGGGGTGGCTGGATTGTGGATGCCACAGAGGCCCCTTGTCACAATCAAAACCCCAACGTGCCCTGAAACAGTGGTGATGCTCTCTACTTACTACCCACTGATACAATGCACTTATAACTCAGAGAAAATACTTCACCAGGTTTCAGGCAAAGTCTACTTAATTATGCTTTTCCAAGTTAGAACAGCTATGTGTGACCATCTTTTGCTTTATAATTTGTGTGTTCCATAAAGCCACCAATTAATCTTCCCTAAGTATCGGTTTCATTATGTCACTTCTCTGCTGAACAAACCACTCTTTTCCCACTGGTTGGTCAATCAAATAAAAGTCTGGCATCTGAGACCACCCATGCCCTGAGTCCTACACAGGGGTACAACCTCATCCCACCTGTCACCTCATAGACCTCTGGACAGTCATCTTGGACCAGTGTCCCCCCAGTACCTTGGCTCAAGGATAGCAGGCCTGGCTGCATGTAACCTCTTCTTTGGTCCTATATACCCAAACCAGCCACGGCTTAGCTCCCCAAGCAGCCTTCTTAGACAGTTTCCCCATGACTCACTTGGCCTCAGCTGCCCTCGGCACCCAAGTCTACATACACAGCGATCATGCGCTACTGCCTGCAAATTGCCTAAAATTGGGCCCTCATTCCTTATATATATGTGTGTCCTCTTTGCTCTTTTCTCAAGGTGGGTAGTATTATCCCCACTTCCTTTAGCAAGAAGCCCTGCTGTTCCAGCTGGTAGAGCATTTCCCCATCCTGGAAGATCCATTGTGTTTGGAGAGCCTAGGAGAAGAAAACACACTCTTCCCACGGTCTGAATGCAGAGGTCTATGAGCTCACCCAGGTGAGTGCTGTCACTGGAGGAGTGCTGGGGGAGGAAGACCGAGCAGTGAAGGCAGCTTGCTTAGAGGGTGAAAAAGAAGGAAACATGGCTTGACCTCTGGGGTGACTCCCTCTGGACTGGGCAGAGTGACAAATGTAGTAAGTTCTGAGTGACAGAAACTGAAGCTTGCATAGCATGTGGGGGTCGGAGTTCCTCCGAGGAGGATCCCTGAGGGTAGAGCCTGTGAGCATGGAAAGAACCACGGGGGCCTATTTGGCTTTGTTGCTTATTGCTTATAAAATCAAATATGGAGGGTATTTGGCCAATGTTTTTGGAATAAAGGAATGCAGACCTGGTTCAGACTTGCAGCAATCCAAGAAATTTTGCTTCTGGGGAGAACTGGAAACATGCAAGCTCTATGAAGCTCTATGAAGCTGAGAGTGGAACCACATTAAGCTGGACAAATGACTGGGTAAAGGCGGTGGAGGGATAGGAGGGGGGATCGCTGAGCAGGAAGCCCAGGGAGCTTGGTGGCCCAGCCCTTAGGCTTCAGCCCCAACACTTCCCCAGGGCCTTAGGCAGTAGGTGGTACAGATAATATACTCCCTGGAAAGCCCTGGTGCTGTAATCAGGGATGGAGACGCAGGCCTTCTAAGTCAAAGGGGCAACCTTATGCATTCTTACCTGCTAAAGAAACCACCTCTCAGACAGGGCTACAAAGATGCTATTTAGAATGGTGACAAGTTAGAACAACCTAAATGAGGATTGTGGAAGATTCATTAAATAACTGATGATTTATCCGTAAAGTCAAAACCTATGAAGCCATCAAAACTGATGGATGACATGGATTTCTATTTGTTGGCATGAACAAATGTATATATTGTTGAGTGGAGTCCAAAATATGCTCCTCTGAGAGTACACTTTTTTTGAGGGAGGGGTAAAAAGCACAAGTATTTATATGTAGAAGAAGTTCTCTGACGGTATAGACATTCAAATGTTGATGGTGGTTCTTCTGTGTGGGGTTTTGACTAATCTTTGCTTTCTTCTTTGTAAGTTTCCATATTTTAGGAATATTTGTATGCCTTTCTTTCATGGTTTATAAGCAGAAACAAAAGGTATTTAAAAATGAGACTATAAAGCAATTCTAAGTGTTTGAATATGGGGTCTCTGGTGCAGTACTCAGTAACAAACAGTCCCTACCTCCTGTGGCCATGAAGGTACTATGTGAGGGGTTCATTCTCTGGGACCCAGGCAAGGATTTTAATCTTGATCTGCTGTAGTTCCCGAACACCTACGATGCACATGCTGCTGTCCTTCCCAATGGGAGAAGTAGTAGAAAGTTGAATTTCTACTTTTGGGGAACAGAGCCTTGGGGTAGGGACTAAAATCTCAGGGGCCACCGGGTGGAAAACATGTTTTCTTTAACTTTTAAAAAGATTCAGCTGCCTACAGCGCTGCTTACTTCCCCAAAGGAGAATCTTCAGATTTAGGTCTCTTTGTAAATAACTGAAGAGCAAGGAGCTATGAGTTCCCACGATGGGAGCTCAGTGCCAACTCAGTGGAACCAGCCTGGCCTTGGCCAGTGTATGGCAGGAGGCTGCCTTTGACCGACTAAGTCAACAAATATTCATCATGCACTTATTGTGTGCCACGCACTGTCCGAGGCACTGGGGATATGGCTGGGAACAAAATAGACAAAATTTTGTACTCAGGCTCAATGGTGAAAGCAAAAGTAAACCAAAACGGAAAATATCGAGTGTGTCAGATGGAGGGTAGTAAGTGCTAAGGACTAGAATAAAGGAGAAAGAGAGAGGAGAGAGAGAGAGACAGAGCATGCAGTAATATTATGTACAGCCCTGAGCCTTTCAGGGATACAGGCTGCTCTTCTGCAGCCTGGGAATTTAGTAGGCTCAATGGGATTTCCCATGTCTGCTCCGTTCCTGCCCAGCTCTCTAGGAGCCACTTCCCAGCACAAAGAGGATAGAGAAAGGAAACTATTAAAGAGCCCATTCCAGCCTCCCTTGATTGCAGTGCCTGCTTATTTTATAAAATAACTCTTGAACCCTGCTCCACAGGAAGTCAACTTCCAGCCCTTCCACTGAGCTGACATCCACTCCTTCCCCAGTTACCCGATTGGGAAAAGAAGATGGACATGACTGGAGAAGTTCTTTACAATTTCTCTCTTCTGGAGGGCCTGTGGGGACCTTAAGGGACCCTTAAGGGTGATGTGTTTTCTGCCCCTCTGGCCCCAAGTTTGCTAAGGCAGACTCTGCTCCTGCAGGGGATGGGAGACCAGCAGAAGTGGGGGTGGGAAGAGAGCAGGATAAATTCAAAGTGAGGTATTAAATAGACCTAATGTGCAAACTGAATTCTTCAATTCTGCTTTTCCAAAATAAGCACCATCTGTCTGACTCCTCTGTCCACTATGTAGTTGGTTGTTCAGAACCTGGGGAGTGGGATGGAGACAGAGGGGTGCTTATTTTCCTCAAATGCTGTTAGTATCTACTTTTTGTTGAACTTCTATATGCCAACTACTTTGCCAATTTCTAAAATAACTTGTCCAAGGTTAATCAGCAAGCATGTGGCAGGGTTGCCATCCACATCCCTGTCATCCTGACATCAAGATCCAGGAGCTTTCTGGTATACCACGGTTTTTTTTGGAAGGCTGTGGAAACCTGTGCTCCCTTAGGGATGTACCTAGACCAAGATACTTCTATCAGGACCCCATCTGGGGACATCTTAATCCCAAGGCCATCGCTTTCTGGAACTTTTTGGAACTGGTTGATCATAAAATGGGGCCAGAATGATTCATTAGCATTATTACACTCCCCACCCCATCCCCCTACTCCCAGGGACAGGGCTGGCATTAATAAGTTACATCTTCCCAAAAATTCAGGGATGGTTCCCATGTGGAGTCTGACGGTGGAGCTCCAAATTCTATCCACAGTCCTGCTTCAGGACCCTGGTGTATAGTGCAAAGAACACTAGACTTGGAGATTGGGATTCTAGTCCTGCTTCACTGCTGACTCCCTGCGTGCCTTGGGGGAGTCACTTCACTTCTCTGAGTCTCAGTTTCTTTGTCCTAAAGTGGGGGCAATCAAATCTATATTTAGAGGGTAATTGTGACAGGTGAGCAGATAAATGACTCCTGTACCTGTAAAGTTCTATGCAGGGAGAAGGCATTGCTACTCTCCCCACTTACGGGAGGATTTGTACCCTACCTCATGCAACAGGGTGGGAAGAGAGAAGTAAACTCATGGCCTCTGTGTGGTTTTCTTCATTACTCTGTTAACTCTTTTCTCTAAAGTTTTGGCTACAGCTATGCATTGTTGATCTTGACTTTACAGCCCTGACAGGAAGTGAAGTTTGCGTCTGATTTTTAAACTGCCAATTTTCTGACCATGTATAAAAAGCGCCACAAAACAAAAAGAACTCACCATCTTTTTGAAAGGAGAAAGAAAACCTTGTACATTTCAACCCTCACAATGGCGAATTTGTGATCATTGGATTTACCCATATTATGAAAAAAAGCAGCTCACCGAATAAAGAGAAAGAAAAAATTATTCAGTTTCAATGTAACCTCTGAGCAAATATTAAAAAAAAAATTATAAAACATGCCATGTTTCCATTAAAACAGGGACCCCTCCTGTGGAGGCTCTTAAACCCAAGCTTCTTTACTAGTGTCTAAGTCAGGCCTCATTCATGCTGGCCTCCCTGAAAGTGACATTTTCACCCCTCTCTCAGGAGAGCCAACAAATTATTTCTAAAATGCATTGGATCTTGGGTTGAAACTGCCAGAAGGGAAGATGAAAATCCACGGGGTTTTGGGTTAGAATATAGCTTTGCCCTGACTTGGTAGGAGAGCTAAAGATGGCACTCAAATCATACCCTCAAGGGAAAAATCACTGGCTGGTAAAGTTTGATCAAGTCCCAATTCCCTGAAAGATGTCAGGATGTTTCAGAAGTCTGGGAAAGACAGCTTTGCCCATAGAAGGAAGCCAGAACCAGGGAAAGCAATTCTGCAAAGCAGTAAATCTCCAGCAGGTGGCAACAGCTTCCTTCTACATTCTCCAAGTCCATTGGAATACAAACAGAAAGTGAACATTCCTGAATTTAGGAGTGATCAACAATGAAGTCTTCTGTTCTCTCCCTTGTTCCTCTTTTTCTCTGCCAACCCCTCTCTAATTTACTAAATTCTCAGCTAGTAGCAACATCTAGACAGAAAGCAAGCAAGGACATAGGAGTTAACATGCTCCTCCACCACCACGGAGAGCCAGACACTTGTAAATTCCACTCCAGTCTCAGCCAGCGATTAGGGAAATCATGCATTAGCTACTTCCTTCAACCCATATCCCACTGGACAATACTTGCAGCAGCAGGCAGTTTGACCAAGAGCTGTGTGCTGTTTAGCTTTTTGGCAAAACAAGCAGCAGGACTATTAAGTATAAAATAATTGTTAGGGGAAATATGACTAGCTCTAGCATCTTTTAATATACCTAGCATTTTATCTGTATTGATCTGCTTCTGCTAAAGAGGAAATTCAGAGTTTATCTACCTGTCTGTGCAATCAAGTGTGTTGCTGGACCTATTGGCAAATTACAGGAGCCCCACTGGGATCTTGCCTTTTAGGTTCTAATTTCCGCACCCATGGCAAACATGAATAATCAGCAAAGTTAATCAACACTTTATCTCCCAGGTGCTGTGTGTGTCCAATATCCTGAAATTTGAATGGCAAGCAGGCAACAGGATTCCCAACTCTAGTAGGGAGGATGTTCAATTTCAGAGACCCAACAGAGCAAATCATTTAAAAGTTAGGCAGAGGGGACATGAATAACTGGAGGCCATAAGAAGTCATTAAAGTTAGGAAGATAATGTGACTAAGCAATTTAAAAAGCTACATGAATGGCCAACCCTGATGCCAGCAAGGGCAGGGTAAGTGCTCTTTAGAGATAGTTTACAAACCCACTTACTCATAGAAAGTTGTCCATCCTGTTTCATCACTCTTGGTGGCCAGGAGCCCAGTGTTCCCATCGTAGGTCATGAGGCCAAGCTCCAGGTTCTGTGTGGACACGACTTTGAGGCCTCCGTTGGTGCCCACCGTGAAGGTAATGATCTGATTGTCTGGCATGAGCAGGTGGCGAGGCATGCCACTACTGTCCCTACGGATCTTCAGGGAATTTCCATTATTGTCAATCAATTCAGTGACATCATTGTCCGCACTATATGTGAAATTATACAAGTACTCCCCTGTCACCAGGCTCACCGTGTACTGGTGGATGCCATCAGCGTTGAAGACATACAACTCCTGCTCTCCGGGAGATGCAGCTTCATACTGGTTGAAGGCATTAAGAACGGGCTTGTTCTTGCTGACTGCCCTGATCCGAATATTTCCAAGGTCTGCAATGTAGATGGTGCCATCTGGAGCTACGGCTAAGGATGATGGGGAGTTCAAGATGGCGTCAGTGGCATAGGCATCATCTCCTGAGTAGCAGTTGCAATTGACGTCATTTTTGCAGTCACAGTCTGAGGCTGCCCCGGCCAAAAGGCAGATCTCCCCATTTGTTGTCACCTGGCGCAGACGGTTAATCTTCTTCTCATCCGTCTCGGTGATATAGAGGATCCCAGTGTGAGAAATGGCAATGGCACTGGCTGACTCCAGAGCGGAGTGAATGGCTAGTTTGCTGAGTGAGTAGTCGATACCAGGAACCTGGCAGTGCATGGGGCGTCCTGCAATGATGCTGACTTGGTGGTTCTCAGTGATTCGAAGGATGACGTTGTTCTCTAGGACATACAGGGAGTTATCCATGGGGTTGACAGCAAGGTCTGTTGGCCACTCCAGGCGAACCTGTAGATGACATTTTATCAGATGAAAGAGCAGCCTCTAATATGTCCAATGTTTAACTCTAGGGCACTTCTATTGATTTTATGCATCTAGTAAAAAAGACTTAGCTTTTTACTGAACACTGTACTAGAAATGCTCATTGTTGAACCAGTTGCCCATTGCCCATGCTGAGTGTGTGTGATGGAGAAGAGAGACTATGCTACAAACATCTCCCTCTATATCACTGTGACTAGAGTAGGCCACCAGCCCCACCCATGACACTGCCTCTCAGCCGCAGGTGAGAGGAACAGGGTCAGAGATGTCATATATGTCTGTACAGTTACTTCACTGCACAAAGAGCACACAATCCAGCTGATACTCTGTTTACAAGGCCATGGGACTGAGGAGACTATGCTCATAAAGAGGAGGCACCTTTAGTTAATTCACAAAAAGGAACCATGTGGCTTGGAAGGTGGCCCTGACCCAAGGGCAGCCAAAGCAGAGGCTGCCCAGCAAACTACAACTTGGGTGTTTGCTTGAAGAAATGAACTGAACCAAACACATTCCTCCTCTATGGAATTTGAAATAAAAATCTCACTAGCAAGTTTTCAGTTTGTTGTGGAATTTGGGCTAAAATTTATGAGGTTGACTGAGGGGTTGAAAAGGTCCTTATAGGAAGGGTGAACATATATCCCAGGTTGTTTAAGAACAAATGCCGTACGTTGGAGTGAGCCTCTGTTCTCTGCCACCGTAAGAGCCCTGACTAAACAGGCACTTTGGGGAGTACTGCAGAGGGCTCTGGTCTAGTTACTACTGCACAAAGTAAAGGTTTATATAGTGAGGATACAATCATTTCAGATTAACAGGGGAGTTCTGATTGACAGAAAACACTGCAGTAATGATGGAGAAGAGAGGTAATTACACAGCAACTCCTACCCTGCAATCTGCCACGGCTGGAGTGTGTCACCAGCTCCACTTTGCTGAGCAGAAGTTCCCTCTCTCTCTCTCTGTCTCTCTCATTCCTATCTGGTATTTTCCATTCCGTCTTGCTGACTAGTTCATCTCAGGCCTTCTCCAAACAAACCTGTGATCATTATCTAGATCTCCCACTCCCATTCTACTTCCAACCCCAACAGGAAGCAGGTGAAAACTTCAGGCCCAGAACAGGTGTTGCTGTGTGATGAGAAATAAGAGAGAAGCCCACCTGGGCTACATCCATGCTGGAGTCGCAGCTCAGAGGCCGGACGGCAGTGAGGTCGTTGGAGCCCAGCAGGGTGGAGATGATTCCATTCTGGTCGACCTTCCGGATCATGGTGGCATCAACGAAGTACATGAGCCCATTCTTGTCTACCGCGATACCTGAGCAAGCAGTGGGCATATATATGTCTCTTAGAAAGAGTAGGGTTGGTGGGGTGGAGGTGGGGGCTGCCTTACTGGGCACTCTCTGTTTGGAACAGGGACCTTCGTGGGATGGATTAGCACACTCTGAGTAGTGGTTCTCAGCCTTTTAAGGCAGGACTTTCTTGAGGGCACTGTGCTGAGATTTGCATAATTCCTGGGGTGCCGGCTGTATCACCAACCACTTCCTTTCAACAGAAGAAAACAAGTTGGGTTGCAAATGAGCCACGGCTACAAATGAATGAATGGGGAAATAACCTTGCATCTGCTCTCTTTAGAAAAGAAGTTATTTCCAAAGTTCACAGGTTCAAAAATTACCAGTAGTAAATTACCTGAATACCCTTCACAACCGATTGCAACAACGAAGCTGAGAAACAATGATTCTTGTAGCCACAAACTCCCAATTCAAAGTATCCTCCAGAAAGCATTCCCAATTAAGCCTTGACATGAATCAGCACTTCAGTGCTCTGGGGGGACACGGGGCTCTAGCATTCCCCTGTCTGTCTTAGCAGCAGGATGGGTAAGACACGGACAAAGCTTTCTATTTGCGTCTTCATCCCAGTGCTCAAGTGCAAGGCTTCACGTCCTTAATCCATGCTGCCAGCTGCTTTTACAGCAGCTAAAAATGCTAGCAGGAATTGGACCCTCAAATGGGGTCGTCCTTTAACCTTTAGTATATTTAGTCCTTTTCAAATAGAGACCCATTGGTTTCGAGAACTTCCCTGTTGATCCCGGACCCCTGGAAATTATACCCATTCTTAATTGCTACCATTTACTGGGCACTTGTAATACATCAGGCACTGTGTTTCAGACTTCATATGCATTACTGTCTAACATGAAAGTGTGGAACGTCAGAGGCCCCTGCTGGGCCTCGTTCTGTCTCCTGCCCACACAGCCTGCACTCTGGCCCATGCAGCTAGCATTTCCTTCTGACTCCGTGACTGGCAGCAGTCAGAAATCTCCAGGTGCAATCCACTCCACTTTCCATTTGTAGCATATGTGGGTGACAGAGTTTACTTCAAATAAATAAATACTTTTTTTTAAAAACCCGCCCACACCTCAAAGCAATCAAGTTAAATTGCTGTAGGGAAAGCTGTGCTTTGGACTGCTGGGTTTAGCTGAGTTTAAGAGAAGAAAGTCAGGCCCAAGGCAAGCTCCATCTGGGACAGGGGTTTCTTCCTGTGCGGCCTTTACCTCGCGGGCTCATGAGGGTGGCATCCACAGCCTTCCCGCCGTCCCCACAGCGGGCTTCATCAAAGGGCAAACATTGCTCTCCGGTCCCTGCCACGACTTCTGAATTCCCAGCCAGGTCTTTGGCTCCACTCAGAGACTTGACACGGTAGATTCGCCGACTGTTGGTGTCAGACACGTAGAGTGAGCCGGACACGGGGTCCACTGCCAGGTAGTACTTGTGTGCTGGGTTGTTGCTTTAGTAGAAAAAGCATAAAGAGAAATGAGGAGGGGGCTGTGCAGCTGGCCTCTTGGACCAGAGATGAAAGCAATCCTAGCAAGACTTTTACCTTGCTGGTGCCATTCCACTTTAGTGAACTGGAAAGAACCTACCGTCACGACTTAGTGTTCTAACCTATCATGGCTCTTAAGTCTGATTGAATGTAAGCTCCTCCTGCTGTCACGGAATTCACTGTTTCCCACCATGCTAAAAGACCACTGCATCACTGAGCTGGTACGAAAAACCCCACTCTGCTCCTGTTTTTGTGAGCAGGACCAACTGCCTCGTGAATCAGCCTTCTTTATTACCACCATGCATTTAGTGTATTTTCAGAGGGATTGAGGAATACTTTCATGGGATAATGTTCTCTTTTTAACAAAGTTAGCATTCAGTGTGAAGAAATGTGGACATCTTGCTGACATCACATCCAGAATCTGAATTACTGAGAGTAGAGATGCAGTTTTCAAATCCTGGGTAAGAGTGAGGTCACAAGGTGTGAATCTGCCAGGGCCCTAAGCCACACCAGGGTATGAACACCTTTGTGTCTGTGAAGTGCCTTAGGAAGGCGGAAGCCTCAGAGACTTCCTCTGCTGTACTTCTAACTGTCCTTTGTGAGGCTAACTAGGACTGAGTAAGACTCGTAGAACTGGCTCAGGACAAAGGCACAGGAAACTCAACTCTGACCTAGCTGGTGACCTTAAATCAGTCTTTTGGCAGTATCAAGTCTTAGCTTTCTTGTTTGGGAAATGAAGATATCAAATTGGATCATTGCTAATGTTCCTTCTGGCTCAAAACCTTACAGTTCTTCTCTGTGCAGTGTCTGTCTTTGGAGGTTAGGACCAGAATGGGTGCTCATGCTAGTCCTATACTGGTTATTAAAGTCACCGCCTCTAGGATGCCAGCAATGATTGCCTCTCTGTCCCCCCCCCCCCCCCCCCCCCCCCCCGGGGTGGCAGACTCGGT